CATGTATATAGGTACTACATGTGGACCTCTCTCAGATTTGTTCATTTTGTAATGATATCTTTAATTCTCTAGTTTTGGTGAATATTTTTGTCATTTTTGGTAAAAAGTGATATTTTCAACTTCATGTTGAAAACCGCAAGTCCAATTGCTTTGATATTACATATATAGGTATTACGTGTGCTTCTAACTCAGATTTGTTCATTTCATGATGATATCTTCAATTCTCTAATTTTGATGAATATTTTTGTAATTTTTGGTAAAAAGTGATATTTTCCACTTCTTGTTGAAAACCGCAAGTCTGTTTTGATACTATACATATTGTTCATTTTCTAATGATATCTTTTGTTCTTTAATTGAAATTTGCATTGCTAACAGCAGAGTATCTCAGCCGAGAGACTGCTTGTTTACTACTCCATCGCTAATGACACTAATTACCAAGAATTAAAAAAAACAAGTGAAATGAAGTCGCATTGGGAAAAAAACCCATAAGAAAATCAAAGCAAAAATTATTCAACTGCAGACGAGACAAACCCCGACCTCTAGAAATACCTCATTCATAGAGTGCCTCATTAGTGCCCTTTGTTTACAAGTATAGTGTCCTTGCATGTTTTTCAAAATCATGTGTTTCCATATACAGTATGTCATAAATTCTCAGACATCTTGATCAATTTTATTGATGGATTGACCGACATGCAATTACATTCACTTATTAGGCAAAGCCTATACCTTTATAATACATGCTCTGATCACACGGGAGCTATTTACAGTTTAACTTTGATTGATAAATTTACTGGTTTTTAAGTGCACAAATTTGCCAGTAAAACTATGAATTCTAAGTTTATTATACATGTTCACATAGATTTAATTCATCCAATTATCCTTATCAGTGAAAATATAACCCAGTGAATAATTAATCCATTTTCAGTAATACTTCTCCCTTAGCAGTCAATTGATGATTGTCGTCAATCTAATTTACGATCTTCTTTTTGGTTTCACTTGAAAATAATGCTGAAAAATATTGTTAATGTTTTGAGTAAAATTTTGTGTCATATGTTTTTCTTGTGTCTGTTCTATATCCTGGGTGTAACTGATCAACTCAACACTTAATATAGTCACAATCTAAATCTATAGAAGATATAGTGAGTTAATGTTTTTGATATCCTGCCAATAGAATCTTCAAACCACTTGACATAGCTACAATGGATAAGGGGGAATTTCCTTAATAGACGACTGGGGACAAAATACCTTGCGTACCTACTTAAGATATGTGTATACGGTTTACGAGTTGATGTGAAATGTTGTCATTCTACTTCCTTATTCTGGTTACATACCTAAATATTCATTAAAATTCCTAAGCTAATTAGTATACTGTATTGCAATTCACCAGTATCAATAAGACATAGTTTTCTCAAATGAACCACCTGTTACGGTTTCACCACAAAAGAATATCAATAATGAGACATTGCATGTAACAATTACATAACATTAAAATAACAGTTTTTGACTCCCGTGTGCGAAGCACAAAAGGGAGTCTTTGCAGTTACCCTGTCTGTATGTCTGTATGTATGTATGTATGTCACTTTTTTTGTTCCACCGTTATCTCAAGAACCACTAATCAAATTTTGGTGAAACTTGGTACATAGATGCTCTGGGATAATGCGCAGAGTTGATTAGTTTTGGTAAAAATCTATGAATATTAATTACCTAATTTGCATGATAATTAGCTGATTTTTAGCTGTTCAAGACTGTTCGCTGATATCTGAGAACCTACTC